AAAAAAAAAACGTGTTCTCTTGCTCAAAAAAGTTATCGTTTACAAACTGCGAAATAATTTTTTGATGTATATTTCCTTCTTTTAGTTTTACCCATTTCTGCTTGGAAAAATAAATACGAAATTTCTCTCCCATCTGTCACATCGATGTCGGAAACGCAAGGCTACGGTACATTGTATTTTTTATCAAAATTAGACACCACAGTACATTTGACGGTACTTTCTGACACAGCAATCAAAAACTACAACATTAAAATCAAGGTTCGTTGCAGCTCATTACTCACAGGTATTATTACAATACTACTAAATGTCATATTGTTGATTTGACGTATTATGTTAATATTTACTTAGAAAGAAACTGTCAAAAAAGATTATAAGACGAAAACCATTATTACACATTTTATGACTTACTCTTGATTATAATTTTTATCAAACTTTTGAAAAAGCAGCGTTGTGGCTTTTGCTTCTGCTTCGACAACTTATTTCAATTTCCGTCTATGAAAAGCGTTTTTTGCTTTTGTAAAGTCATTGTTTAATAAATTAATATACAAGTTTCTGCTTAATTTTTTTTGATAGAAAAACAAGAAAAATAAAAACAAAAAAAGAAAATAAATGAAAAAACTGAACAGCTTGCCTATTTAAAGGAAAAGCCAACACAAACAACATGCTAACGATTTTAATACAGAGAAATAAAGTTAGCCATTCAAAAAAAAAAAATAACAGAAGTAAGATTTCCAGTTAGCCACGAACGACAAATGAGACTAAGGCATACCTTAATCAATAGACAGCCGGGAAAAATACAACAAGCGAGTTTTAGACGATACAGGAGCCTGCGCAGTAAGAGGAAAGACAAATAGCTCTTGTTGCGTTCAAACTTATCGTGAAAGAAGTAGAAACGATGCTATAATAACTTTTCTACCAAAAAAAACTAATTTTTTTCAGCTCAAAAGACTTTATTTTATTTTTATACGTTACAAAATGAGGCTTTTGTTCAATTAGCATTCTTATTGGTATAAATAGATTTAGATAATAGCCTTGCTTTAAACAGACAATTAGAAGAATAAGAAAAGATTGGTTGAAATAATTACTCAGAGCAGAATGCGATAGAATTTTAAAGAAATTAAAAGCTAGCACAAGCTTTATTTTCACTCTTTGGTTCAGGTCTGAGCAGTAAAATATAGTGGCAAAGCCTAAGACACCTGCTTTAAGCTTATTCTAAGTTAGAAGCCAGTCTAGAGGTAGAGAGCAAAACGAAGGAATACAGGCGCTGTCTCTTAATTATAATTTTTCTCTTCATACAAGACTTTTTTAGTACGGCCCCTGTCGAACATTTTAGGGAAGTTCAGCTGCCAACATTTCTGTGTTCTCAACTGAGTCGAAAGCTTCAACAATAAGCGCTGAAGGCGACCACCCCTTCACAATAGTAGCAGCACTGAGACAGCTACCGGTACTGAACGGAACAAACGCAACTGATTTTGGGTGTTTTATACCCACTTCGATTATCCCGTCAGGTTTATTAACATTTCTTTTAATAGTTACTATCCCGTGTG